GCAGCACACCGCCAGCCGCGCCGCGTTCACCGCGCGCTCACACGAGTCGTTGGCCGGCTCTAATACGTTCTCTAATTCAGCTCCTGCGCTCAGCCTACAAACAGGGATCATTGTAATAATCTATAATAACACTGGCTTTTGCCCGCAACCCCTCGTGGAATTTAATCTAGTCATATGCCAAGTTACATCCAGATCAGTTCAGCCGTTTAGGCTACAACTCTAACAAACATCCATCTACCATAAACTTTCGCATTTATAATATTAGTATGATAATAACGCGTAAACTGACACTACTACTTAGTAGCGTAGGATAGGATAGCTTCAGCAATCACTGCATATTTCTGAATAATTCTTTCTTCAAGACACACTTTAGGCTATATATTTTCACGGTATTAAACTTAGGGGTAAATAAATTGAAAAAAAAAATGTTCATGTGGGAAAGGGATCATAAACTACAAGCTGACAACATCAAGGTTGCCATGGTAATCAAGAGATCAAAATAATAAAAGCACTTACCGGCAGCAGTCTAATATAGTGTCTAGTAGATCCAAGAGGTTTGGCATAAACTGGTGCGCCTCCGCAGCTGAAGTGGTATCCGCGAGACACACCTTGAGCCGCACCAACGCAGCGTCGCACGATATAACGTCAAGCAGAGATGGTAAACCACTCGCTACAAGTTAAATGTCATTTAAAATACAATAATAACGAAACTAATTTCCTTTATAATATTATTCAAATTATACTCACAAGTGATGTTTTGTTTCAAGTGTTTTATAGTTTCCGAGGCGAGCCAAGCCGTGTATTTTATATTATCGCATGATGCGCTCACACCGGCTAACAAATTTTCTGCATACTGAAAGAGAAAGAATAAATTCAATTTCCCGTTTTAAAATCAACATTTATTCTCGGAAAATAGGAAAGTCTAGATTCCATTAGTGACTAAGGACTGTGGACAAACTACCAGAAAAAACTGTAGACTATCAAAGTATTCAATAATAATTCAAAGGCATTGTAACGAACCTGTGTGTACATCCCTTGCTTGACGAGGGCGTCTTTGAGCCAGGGGTTGAAGACCTTCTTGTTGTCAGCGCGCGGCGCCCAGATGACGGCGTGCAGCGGCAGCGGGGAGGGCAGCTCCGCCTTCGTGCCCGCCTGCAGCTTGTCCATGTGCGGCGTCGCGGGCGGCATGCTGATCACTAATCTGTTTTCACGAAACTCGTATTAATTCAATATCATAAAATAAAAACAAGTAATTTCTGTGAATAATAAAACGTGTTTTAAGCAAGCGGTCACAGCATACAATCTCTCACAAGGTAGAATTAAAAATCGTGATCGTGAGTGCTACAAAAATGTAATCGCACATTTTCATCACACTGTTTTATACATTACTAGCTGTATCTTGCGACTTCGCCCGCGTAAAATTAAAGCATAATACAAATAATTGCCTATTTTACTACAAATAAATTACCTTTCTATCGGTGAAAGAATTGCTCGATCGGAAATAGTTTTTGAGTTATTTCAATTCATACACAAATACAAATCTTTCCTCTTTATTATATTAGTATAGTTGTTAAATGTTAGAAAAGAGAAACATACATTAGATAATGTTAACATGTTAATATGTGTTGGTATACCTCCAGGCGGTCTGGAAGCAGTAGTGCGCGGCGGCGAGCGCGGCGGGCGCGGCGCGGTGCTGCGTGTTGTCGCACACGCAGGCGGCGTTCAGCAGCGCCAGCAGCGCGTCCAGCAGCAGTGGGTACTTCAGCTTGTGCGGCGTGCCCAGCACGAAGTTGCACGCTAATCCATCGAATTTGGGATTCTCCTGGAAATATAACGAAAATATGAAGAAACTCGTGTAAAGGAGTGTGGAAGTTATGTAGAGAATTTCGGATTCGCTACATAAGTAGAAATGAAACAAAAGCTATATAGAAACAAGACTGTAAAGAGAATGTGAATGTTATGCAGAAAGATTAGATCATTTATATCGTGATTTTTAACAAATCCAAAATTTTAACAGAACCTAAAAAAAATCTGGATCATCGTCGTCTGCCATAATTTGTGTGTTAGGACATGTTTTTTTACAATTCTTTTTATGTATTAATTTACTAAGATTTTTAACATCTAAGGCACATACCTGATTATTAATTTCAGCACTGGTCAATGCGTAGAACTTGGGTCTCATAGAAGATTCGTCTTGCGAGTAGCATCTGTAAGCCGCTTCAATGTAGGGCACCTCGCAGTATATACGGGATTTGATCTGTCCGTTGTCTGTGGTCGTCTTAGCGCCGTTAGTGGAGGACTCAGCTGTCGGTTCTGCCAGTCCGGGTGCGATAACAAGGTTCCATTCAATCTAGAAAGACAAAAATGACGATATCTTTAATATTTAACCAAAAGATTTATGCATTTTGCATAAATAAACAACTATAGTAATATTATAAAGAGGAAAGTTTTACATCATTGACTTATTTATGTATTGAAATAACTCAAAAGATAAGCCGATTTCTAAAATTGATACAGCATTAAAAAGTTTCATTATCAGTGTTACATAGTTGTTTTTCCTATTGTTTTTAATACCACGCGGACGAAATCACGAGCAATGTCTAGTTATATATATGTCGCAGGAAGCTATAAATTGATTGTTGCTTTATGTGTAACAAACGTTATTGTCTTAGGTTTTAATATTGTTTAAGATAATTT